CCCTCCTTCCCCCGGCAGATCCATCCCAGCAAAAGCTTAATAGCCCCATTTAAGGCTTTTCCTTTTCAGCACGGAATTGAGCTGCTCCTGCCATTACGAGGTTTTCAGCTTCTCCCTGAAATCAAATTACTGACTCCATTTAATTTTTTAAAAGCTCGGATGATTTCCCTTCTTGAATCGGAGCCGTGACTCCAAGGCCGGCCCCTCCCATCTCCCACCCACCCCGCCGCCCCCACTGCCTGCGCCAGGCAGGTCTCCTGAGGGGGGCCGCTGCCTGGGGACTGGACGGGCAGCCCCCATGCCAGGGCAAGCCTGACACCTAGAGGGGAAGCCAACAGGAGGAGGCCCAAGCCTTGGGCCGCTGCCCGGACATCTGGCTGGGTGGCCTGGGCTGGGGAGGGAAGAAGGCTTTGACCTCCCCTGGGCCTGGGTCAGCTCACAAGAGTCCACTGTTTAGGAACTAGGTCTTCAGAAGCTGGTGGGGAGGGTGGTTAGAACCCAGTGCTGACGCTGTGCGCTCACGGGCGGCTGGTTCCCCAGGCCCCCAGTTGCCTCCTTGAGTGTGTATCCTGGACCCCATCACTCGACAGATGTTCATGCAGCGCGTCCTCCATGCCAGGCCCTGTTCCAGCTCTGGGAAGGGAAGAGTGAATCGGACAGGGAAAGTCCCTCGTGTGGAGCAAAAGTTCGTGTGCACACGTGTGAGTGTATGTGCGTGTGTGACGGGCGCGTGGAGACTGACAATAAACACATGCGTGGACAGTCGCGGATGGCGCCAAGTGCTCTAAAGAGACCCAAAGATGCAAGTCGCATGGGGCTGGGCTGTGGGCTGCTTCGGGTGGGACGGCTGAGATGCCCCTCTGAGGAGGTAACCCTGGAGAGAGCTGGGGGGCGGGCGTCCAGGCAGAGGGGCAGCAGTAGCAAGGGCCCTGGGAGGGCTGGAGGGAAAGACAAAGGCCGTCGAAGCTGGCGGAGCAAGCGGGAGGCAGCGGAGGCAGCGAGGGGGCCTGCAGGGCCTGAGGGCCGCGGCGGGAGCTCAGATTTTATTCCGGTTTTGAAAAGCTGGCTGGAACGTGGACATCGGAGGGACAAGGGCCGCAGCGAGGGGATTGGTGGGGTGCGCCCTGGGTGAGACGGGTCAACTCCCCTTGCTGGAAGGAAAGGCGACTCAAAGGGCCCCTCTTTGAGGGCTCGTGCCACTCCCATCCAACGTCCAGATGGCTCGGTGGAGGTGGCTGCCAGTGATATTTGACACCTGTCACATCTTCCACCCCACAGCACTGGCCTGCAGTCTCTCTCTGTCTCTGTCTGTCTCTGTCTCTGTCTCTCTGTCTCTCTTTGTCTGTCTGTCTCTGCCTCTGTCTCTCTGTCTCTCTCTGGCCCTGCCCCCCCCATGCACTTTCCCCCTTCTCTACCTCTCTGCAGAGCCACCCAGCTTTGGGACCTCACAGACCAGGGGAGCCCACACCTGAGAAAGTCCTGATGCTTTACCAAGTCCTCCTCACGTTTAACCACCCCGCGCTCTTGGAGATGAGACAAAAGGAAAGGAGTTAATGAAATCGCCAGGCTTTACCTGGCATAAATGGCGGTCTGCAAGGCGGAGAGGGTCTGGGCATTAACCGTCTGGGCACTCTTCCCAGCTCCGTGCTCTGCGAGCTGGGACAAACCACTTTACTTCTCTTCCTTTCCTCGCTCGGCTCCGCATCGACTCCAAACCGGGAGTGTGTTTAATCGGAAGGTGCTCTGACTCCTGTTCTCCCTCGAGATGGGACAACTCCAGATCTGTGACCAGGGATCCAGGTCCGCTAGGGCCTGGGTGGCCCCTGCGCCCGATCCCGGGGCCGTGCGCGCACATGTGTGAGTGTTTTTCCTGCCTGGAGACCTCCCAGGTTTTGCAGTCATTCGTTTGTGGCTGACGGCTGAATGTCTGCCACGAGGGATATCTCTGCAGCGCCTGGCTCTTCCCATCCGGGTCAGCTCCCAGCTGGCTGGATCTCAGACCACCTGGGACATAGGGTGCTTAGATAAGGTGGCTCCCCGCACTCCCCGTGACTCCGTGTGTAACGTCCAGGGTCTGTGACACATTCAGTGCCCTTCTCTCCTGTTACGCAGGGCAACCAGTGGCCCATTTTCCCTTTTGGGTCTTCTTCCTTGGGCACAAAGCTGGTTTCCGCTCCCGGCCCCGTCCAGGCTCATCGTTTTTCCCTTGTCGAAGGTCTCAAATTCCCAGGTTTTAGACGCGTCCCTCCGTAGATCCGCCTTCACAACATGCTCTTCCCGCCTTAGCTGCAAGTCTCTGTTGGGTATTTCAATATCACTTAAACTGGAATTGGAGTCATCAGCCTAGTAATCCTCCAAATTACTGCATAACCAGAGGGGCCGTGATGCGAAGAGCTGTCTTCTGGGTGTCCTGCCCGAGCTGTGTGACCTTGAACAAATCAATTCACTTCTCTGAGCTTCTGTGTTCAGCGTGGGGCAGTCGGGAAACAAGAGCAGATGGCCAGGCCACCTGCAGGCTAGGATAATGTGGGGGTCCATCCTGTGGAGATGGTGTGTCTTCTCCTTGAGCACCCATCCTCCCCAGCTCAACCCACCTCCTGACACCTCTGCTGCTCTGGTCTCTGGGGGTGGGAGCTGTTGGGGACATCAGGCCACGCCAGCGGGCGCATAAAATGGGATGGAAGGGACAGATGCTGGATCACAGGTAGCTGGCCAGAACCCACCACTACCTTGCTCCGCAGGTGACCTCGCACCAGCTCCTTCCTCTCTCAAGGCCCAGGCTGAGATGTCCCACATCCTGGACCTCAAAGCCCTCAGAACGGTGGCTCTCAAGGTAAGATCCCCGGACCAGCAGCATCGGCCTCACCTGGGAACTTGTTAGAAGTGCGAATTCTGGAGCGCCAACCCAGATCTACTCATCCAGAGACTCGGGGCTGGAGCCTGGTCATCTGCGTTTTAACAAGCTCTCCAGGCGATTCTGACGCACGTGAAGGTTGGGATTCTTCGAGAATCTGTGCAGCGACCCCCACCCGCTCCCCTCAAGTCAGAGGGTCCCTTTGTCTCCATAATGATAGCGACACTTTCCACGTCCATCTGCTCACTGCAGCTGGTACTATCCCTCTGAGGAAGAGAGGGAACAGGTCTTCCCCATTTACAGATGAGGAAACTGAGGCTCAGGACCTTGCCCAAAGTCACACAGCGAAGACGGGCAGAACCGGAGCTTCTCATTCCATGGCGAGGGCTCTCTCCTGGATGCCTTGGGTTACCCAGCTCCTTAGACCCAAGGAATTAACACACGTCCATCAGCCGGAAGGAAAAGCCCCCTTCCAGCTCTCTCCCAATTTCCAGTTGCAATCCCCAGAGAGAGCATCCAGGAAACATAAATTTTGCCTGGTGGCTGAGTAAGAGCTCTGAAAGGAGTTACACGTCAGGGAGATGGGACTTTATTTCTCAATGAAATAGCCTTTTTATGGTTGGAATAAAAGTGCCAGCGGGAGCCTAATGCCAGGAAGTAGAGAGCGCATTTGATAAACTCCTTCAGCCAGGGGTGGGGCTGCCCGAGATGGAGGCGGCGGGAGAGCCGCCCCCACGTTTCCACCTGCGTGTTTCTTTTCAGGTTAGAGCTTGGAAGATCCTGGGGTCCTTCCTGTGGACCCCGCAGCTGGAGGAAGGCTGACTCGGGACCTTGCGAGTACCTACGCTCGACATCCCGTCCCAGAAGAGGGGCGGCAGTGCGGAGAGCGGGCAGCAGGGGGCAGCAAAACCCACCGTTCCAGCCCCGGCGAGTGGGCGCTGCGGGGGGCCGCGGGCGCGGGGCGCGGGGGTTGGGGGTGCTGCTCTGAGGCTCAGCCCTCAGAGAGGGTCAGCAGTAACCCACTCCTTGGGCCCTCTTCCTCTGCCCTTGAGCCCTTCTCACCCCCCAGCCGCTTCGCAGCAAGGACAGTTTGTCCTCACTCTGGCTGCAGCCTCTGTGGATCCAAATCTTAACCCGGGTGGGGAGAAATTGGGGGGCGAGGCTTCTCCATCCCCTTGCCTACCCTCTGGCTGGTTTCTGGAAACTCCTCCAGCCTTGGCTTTGGACTTGACTGACCCTTCGGCTTCCTTCTGAAGGGCCCCTTGAGGGGACTCAGAATGTGTGTGTGTGGAGGGGTGGGCGGTGGCTTTTGTGGGTGGGGGACCACAGCCTTCATGGTCACTGGGGCAGGAGAAAATCCTGAAGGACAAAGAGAAAGCGAGGAAAGCTCCCCATTTGAGAATGTGTGTGATTGGCAGGTTTACGGCCTCGGGAAGGTGCGTGGTATTCTGCACAATCAAGTCATTTTTAAAAATAATCTCCCTGCTTAAGTCGTACACGCTGCTAATTGCATTTTAATAAGTCTCTTAAAATCTTGCCATATTTTTTAATATCCTAATATTAGGTAAGTGATTGCGGGGGACACTGGAGGGCACGGGGAGTTTATATAACGGAGGGAGGGCTGTAATGAAGCTGGGGAGGCAGTGGCCTGTGGAGTGTGTGTGTTTGTATGTGGGCCTTTTTTTCTGTATGAGGTGTGTGAGTGTCCGTGCAGGAGTGTGGAGGATGTGTGTGTGCACGAGCCCGGATGTCCGTAGCCCAGGCTTCTCCTCTGACCCAGCCCATCCTCTCCTCTTTTTTCCAAGGATGAGGATCCTGAGCCCAGAGATGGGGACCGATGGGGAGCTCCAAGCCCCATCTCGTGAGAGCAGGGGAAGAGCCACCTTTGCACGGTCTCGGTCCAGGCAT